CAGCCGGACCTTTGCACAATTCACCAGTTTTGGCTCTTCGGAGCTCGTCAGCAAAGCGCTTCTTCGAAGTCCTTCCCTGGCAAACCTGATCCAGCGCCTCCGCTGGACATTTTTACGTGTTTGGCCCGTCTCCGGCCAAGCAACGCTCATCACCTGCTGACGGGTCCAAACGCCGAAGGCGGGCGAACCTCCAGCACAAGCTCTTTGTACAGGCATTGCGTTGCAAAACCAGCTTACTCCGAATTCCCTGGCGCAGAACAGAAAGCCTTGCGACGCGTTTGTGGCCGGAGACTTGAGGGCACCAGTAATGCTGCTAGAGACCCCACGTCCCGTGGAATGGCACTCCCCATCTCCCCTGTATGGGGCCGCAGGTGCCATGCAAGGCAGTCGTCCTGGCACCTCGACCACGACCCCGGGCAAGCAGCCCGGGCCCTGGCGTTTGCACCTGCCCGAAACTAGACCTGTGTTTTGTGTTTTTTTTGCGGAAAAGAAATGAAAAGTTCGGAAGGCGAGTCTTTCCTGCACGGTGGTACAGCAGCCAGCAGTGCTCAAGAAATTGGCATCAGATAGCCTCGTTTCCCCGTTTCAAGTTCGTTCCTTTGGTTCAATGTGCCGAAGCCGTTGTTGTGGATGCTGCACGAAAGCTGGCTGCTGCTGCCTCGGAGGATGTCTCTGCGGATTTCTCTTTGCCCTGGTGGTTTCAGTGGTCGCCATCACCAGCATTGCTGGGATTCTAACCCTGCCGTTGCTATCATGGGTGCAAGCTCACCAAGCCGTTCTGGATGAGTTCTTCAACTGCACCGCGGCCGAGGTGGGTCATGTCAACAAGACAGTGCAGGCAGAGCTTCCAAAGCAGTGCCACGATTTTTCCTGGGATGACTGCCAGGGTTGCGACGGAGATGGCGACGCCAATCCGGACTTGACCAAAGAATGCCGCTACTGTGGCTGCCAAGTTGTCTTTGCCCTCGAGACCATCCAGCCGTCTGTAGAGAAGGCCTTGGAGAAGTGTTGCGGGACTTTCAAGAAAGATGACGGCACCAAGTTCTTGCTTGAGCCCTGCCATGACATCGTGGAGAATTTTACGGGCAGCTTTCACGAGGGCGCCAAGCAATGCAAAGCCAAGGGGATTGACAGCGACCTTAAGTTGGTCAAGCATCCTATGATGCTCCTTGTCTCAGCATCGGCAGCGACAGCCAGGCTGTTGCAGATCACTGAGCTGTCGAAGGTGCTGCACACCTCATGCCACCGAGTCCTCTGGCTGAGTCCGGGCCTGTTGTTTTTTGGCTTGGCGGCTTACCGTTGGCGCAAGACCACCCAGAATCCAGATGCTCAGGGCCTAGCAGCGCACTTGCTCGCGTGATTCGACAGCAGGGCGGCTCCGTATACAAAGGAGCTTCTCTATCCAGCAAAGCCTGGAGATCGGTTCAGGGCACTGGCGTGCCGTACCAAATGGAGGCTGCTTGCAGAGTATCTGGAAGGAAACAGGATGCGGGGTGTATCCGGCCAGAGGAGAGACATGAGATTCTCAGCATCTCCCCTTCACAGGCACCAAGAAGAGCAATAAACAAAGCCTGCAGACTCTAGAGCCTGCAGCCCGAAGCTTCAGGGTTTCTTTGGTTCCCCGATCCGCCAAGGCGCCCCAAACTGGACACCAACTTCTGCGTGTCCAGGTGGAAGCTTCCGAGAGATATGATAGTGTCAGGGTTGCCGTTCGAATTTCAGTTCTGTGGGTGCAGAAAATGAAGAGCTTCGGGGCTCCGCGCCGGGTAGGATTCTGGAGGCTTCATTCTTGGTTCCCGGTTCCTGGCCTGTGGACATCGACAGATTTTAACTCTGTGAGCATGGGGGCTACATGCGTACCTCCCCAACTGTTCTCGCGATCTTGCTAGTCAACCCGCACCCCGAACTCGAAACGAGATGCTCTATGTTTGGGAGGTGCAAGCCTATCTGGCTGCCAATCAAGGCACATCGCTTTGCGGCGTACCGTGCCAAGGTGCCTGGTACAGGGATCTCAGTTGGTCCTACAAGGTTTTTGGATCGGCATGGGTACCCCGCCCCCGAGAGGTGCTTCAGCTTCTGCCGCAGCGCGTTCTGCAGCAGTACATCGACTTCGAGAAGCAGGGGCAGTGCGACACCAAGGTTCAGGTTAGGAAGCCTTGGAAGAAGGGGGGAGGAAGTCCGGCGCTTTGTCCGAACATGGGAGGTACTCCGCTTGCATCAAGCTCCTGGAATCTGCAACTCCCGGGACTGAGACTGAGGGTTTCAGGGGAAGCCAGTGCAAGGATCGTGACTTGACCTTGGGTAGTTCCCTTTGCTGTGACACCGTGAGGAGCCTGAACGTGCTCAGCCCGGCCACGATGGTCAGTGGCAAGCCGTTGCTGGTGGAGACGGCGCCGGAACGGAAGGGTTTGGTCAAGCTCTTTGCATTGAAATGTACAATGTTATGCAATCATGCCAGGCTGTGTAATGTCGGCCTAAGATACGTTTGTCTTCGCAGAACCACATCTTGTGCGTCCGCGCTTACGTGTGGGTAAACCGTGCACGCTGTCAGCGGCAACGACAGCAAAGTCAGCATCCATCCCTCAACTGGTGTGGAGAGTGTGCGTCCAACAACATGCGACACCAGTGGGGGAAATTCTCGCAGCTTTACTCGCTTCAGCAACCCAGTCTAGCGCCCGGCGTGAGGTGCTGCAACTGATAGTGGGCTACTCGGGGCTGTGCCTCAAGAATCAGCAAGGGAGCGTGGCGGTGAAGCTCATCACCCAGGCATGGTTATCAAAAGCAAGGGCTCTCTCCATTACCAGCAGGAACCAGTAGAACCGGACATTTGGTGGCGTCTACATTTTGCGAAACAAGGGGTAGTCACTTAGTATTGGATCACATCGCAGGAGCCTTCGGAGTGTGCTGTCGTTTAGAAGCAAGGCAAAGAGGCTTCAAGCGCAACCTGTCATGTTAAGCTAGGTTCACTCTAGCGACTCTAGCTTGTACCGACTGCTCAGATATCTTGGAAGACATGAGATACCAAATACTCGGAGGGTAAATTTAAAGGGAGAGTGTCCTGAGTACGACGGAGAGGCCAATCAAGTTAACAAAAAGTTACCATTCAGAGTCTGCTGAAGAGCTCGCAACATTGTGTAGAGGAAGGAGGAAGGAGGACAGGAAGACAGAACCAGTTCATGCGTATGGCACTTCGACATGCTGACGGATCAGCAATAACACCTATTCTACTTATCAAGGTTACCCTCTTGCCGCCCTGGAGAGGTCCTGGACAACATGAGCCTGTCACTCCGGGATCTGCACCCGGGTCATCGCACGGTCCTGGAGGTGCCAGCCGCACATCCCACACTCAAGTATTTAGGCGACTACAGCAGCATCAGTCTTAGGGTATTCTGATTGGAATCCTTCTCACAAGTATTAGTATTAACTGCTACGGCGGCTGAGCTGTTCCACCAAACCTCCCACTCCTACTCCTACGCATCCTGCTGCCACTACCACTACCACTACAACTACTACGACTACTATTGCAACAACAACAACTACTACTACCACCGCTACTACTACTACGACTACGACGACTACGACGACTACGACGACTACGACGACTACGACGACGCCTACTCCTACTCCTACT